GTCCAATTTGTATTTATATCTTGTAATTGTTTTATTGAGTAGGTCCTGCATGCATATACTATAGCTTTGTGTTTTTGAGATTGCTGAGGTATGAAATGTTTACTCATATTTATTTATGACCCTTTCCCCCTCCTGGTCATTAGGCTAGGAAAGATAGAACCAGATAAGATTTTAAATTCTATATACAACTGATTTATCCTTTTAATTTAGTACCTTACAGGAAATCTATCAAAAATATCACCCTTATGAAATAACTCATTGATTGAATTTTTCCAGCTTGGCGTGACATCAGCTGGTCTCCAAGATGTACGTCAAGTCAATGGTAATTGATGGCTTCAAGAGCTATGGCCAGCGCACTGAAATCAATGGCTTTGACCCACTCTTCAATGCCATCACAGGGCTTAATGGTTCGGGAAAGTCCAACATCCTGGATGCCATTTGCTTTCTCCTCGGTATCACCAACCTAAGTCAGGTAAGGGTATAGGGTTAGGAAGTTGGTTGTTATGACTACTTTACCTATATGTTGAGCTTTTTTTTTTTTTTTTGAGAGTGCATGTAAACAAGAGTGGATTTTTATTTCAAGTAGCATTAGGAAAATGGGATTTTTTCTTGACATTTCAGTATTCAATTATTCAGTGTCAGAGTGGGTACATTTTTTTCTGACTAGATTCTAGTGACTCAAGAACTAGGTCCAACTTTGAATCCAGACTCAGTGAATGCCTTTCACCTACTCAAAGGTTTTGAAATCTCATCATGAATAGGCTAAATGAGGCAATTTTTATTTATGTTACATGGTTCCAGTTTTATAGTTTTGGGTAACTCTTTCTAAGACAAATACATCTATTTTCTGCAGAGAAATACTATTTTATAAGAGAAATATGTGTGCACTGTAGATATATTGTGAATTCAACTGGTGCACTCGTCAGACTTTCCCTACGCCAGCCAGCAATGTTGGGGGATCCCATGGGGAATCAAGGGTTGGGGAGGCGGGGGGGGTTTGCTCATTGCAGGCATATTAAAGAGCAAAGGAAAGTGGGAAAATAAAGTCCTGAGCCAATAATTGCATTTCATATGATGAAGAAAGTGGAAAATAGAAAATCCTGAGACAAGATTTGGCCATGGAAGATTCAACTCTGCATAGCGTAAATGAACGAGAGAATGAACCCTATTGCAAACACACAGATGATCAGAAAAATTACTGTGTGAACCAAATCCTTCCTAACCCAGGGGCTTTGACCCTGGACCACCTCCCAATCACTATATTTCCCCCTTCTGATGGCTGTATTTCCCTACTAGGGGCTCCACCCCCAAACCCCCATAGTCTCAATACAGTAACTTCAAAACAATATACCTTTCTAGTAGCCCATCATTTTAGCTTAAGTTAAACACTTATTGGGCTCCAGGAAATGCATCATGAATAATCACTCAATTCTGCTCTTATTTCCACATATTGCACAATTCAGAGGTTCACTCTGCACACTGTGATTTATGCAGATGTCAATAACTTTCAAAGAATTTTCATTATATTGGCTTTATAGGACCATGACCAAGATCTGTGACTGTCAAAGAATAGTTTAGGAGCTGTTGAAAATCCCAGTTCGAAAAAAAAAAAAAAAAAAAAAAAAAAAAAAAACTATATAACTTGAAATCCAAAAGAATTTGTAACAAATATATTTTGCTTTGTATGATATTACATAAAAATACAAGATGGCCGAATATAGTGGAGCAGATGGGAACAAATGGAAAAAAATTCATTTTCACAAGCGCATAGTAACACATAAACTAGTTGACACATCACAGTAATGACTTGTGTGGTCAGCTTACTATTCGAGACCATGGTGTAAACATGTAGAGTGATTTAGAAAAAATCGCTTCAGAAGAAGTTTAAATGCTTCTTGTAATCACAATATGTGAGAGTGCTCATCTTTTTCACTTCATGGTGTTCATAACATCATATAGAAGGGAAATATATATATTTTTCTTTATGATATAGTGCGTAGATATCGTTTAGTCTTACTTGGTTTTGAATTTTCATATAAAGTTTAAAGGAGATATATTCATAAATTGATTATCTCTACACATATTATAATGGACTACAGCTGTATGTATGTAGTACATACACTACAGTGTCCACATAGTATTGAAATCTGAGACCGATCTCTGCCTGTCATTTCTTACCCAACTTCTTTTCATTTTCATTTGTACAAACTTGTAGCCTACACAGATAATTTTTCCTATAAGATGTTAAATTGATTCTCAGGAAAATAATATTCTACTCATTGGCATAAGTGTACTGTCCACTGCAGTTTATTTTGAGAATTTTGTTTATCAATTTTATGTATCCAATGCTATTGATATTATTACTGTTATTATTCTTGACATTAGGATTACTATGGTAATTCTTTACAGTATGGATGCACTTGCCAGAGACTAAGTCTCCAACTCCTCATCACAAAATTTATTCAACAATCTAAGTTCCTGTGACTTGGCATAACCTTGG